GATTATGAACTTCAAAGTGCTGCTGGAGTTGAAACTTTCGAGAGATGTAAAAGACAATGAGATAGGTTTCTACAGGTATACTGGCAACTAAATGAAGACCAGGAAAAATGTGGGGCTGCTGCTGAAATTGGTGAGTGGCCTAATGAGGAGGAACATGGAAAGGATTAACGAAAGAATTAACACACTTAGGACTTTCTCTATCCTGCCTTTTACATGCAAGCTGTGCTCTTTTACCTCACAGGCCTTTATGACTCCCATGGAGGTCTGAGAGATACACTACCCTTAGTAGAGGGTAATCACCAACGGACAAGTAAATTAAGCTGAGTTTATGCAGTTTTATATAACAGGATAGATGCATCTGAGCTTGTTGAGGGAGCTGCTTTATGTCATTGTGGGGCTATTCTGTTATCTTTGAAAAATCACACAAGATGTCTGATAAGTGATAAAAGGCAACTGTGAAGTCTATTCAGGAGCAACATAATCATCAAGAGGTTTTCTTGTTACTTTTCTTCAATGACAGGAAGGCATATATAATCATATAAGGATTAATAACAGGGTTTTCCTGCATTCAAATACAATGGAAAAAGAAAAGAAAGTTATGTCACTTTCTTTCAACTTTTACAAAAGTTTTATTTTGTCTCTACCCAGACTTCATGCTTGTTCTTAAGTATAACATTTCTCCCAAGAAGAATGGTGATTTTGTTTCAAAAGATTTCTTACCACACTTTTCAGTTTAGTCTTAGTCATAATACACAAGAGAGTATTAGAGACTGATGTCAAGCTGCAAAGTGCCATAAGCATGACAAATCTTCACTTTAATTCTCAGAATTGATTTCCTTTTGAGGAGGTGTGATTTCCTCTCTCTTCCCCATGGCATTTACTGACTGGAGAATGTTTCATATGTTCCCCTTATTGAGTAACAAATGGCATCTAGTACTATTCCTGAACAATTTTTTTAAAAAAACAACACTTTTACAGCAGGAAACAATTAAAGAAGATATTAGTGTGCCAGCTGCACAGATACTGTGTCTTATTTTATAAGATAACAAGGCAAAATATAAAAATAAAACCACAAACCACTGAAAAATCTGTAAAAGCTTTGAGTTTCTCTCCATCTACCTGTGAACATCCACAAAACCCAAGTGAACTTGGATTTTTGCTCTACTTACTGTATAGATACATATAAAATCTGTGAAATCTGGAGCAGGACTTGAATTAAAACATGAACAGAGATTTAATTCCATCTTATTCGTCTTGTATATACTATATGCATACTTTATTGCAAGCCTTATAGTATGCTTATGGGAAACTGTATTTATTTATTTTTTTTTAATAGTTCATACTATTATGTTGGGGCCCTTGGTGAACAGAGGAAAAAAAACATCTTTTTTTGAAATCCAAGAAAAGGCTTATTTATATATGACCTTGAAGGCTCTGTACTTGACTCTGTAATGAGCAATCACGCCAAGGGGAAAAAGCTGAGAAGTGAAAGTCAACATCAAAAAATAAGAGTAGAAGTGACTAATGGAGTTAACAACAGAAAACCACTGAATGTCCCCAATCCAGTTTACATATATATGGGAGCACCTAGCCAAACCAGTTTCAGAGCACAGTAGGTGAGAAGCAGGGAGCTGTCATCTGACTTGGCTTCTTCTCTGAGTTGCCTTGTCAATGCAGAGATAACTCTGGAGATAACTCTGGAGATAACTCTGGAGGCAGCTTCGAAAATGGTTCAGCCCAGGATTGTGTCAAGGTGGCATCACAATAAGAACTGAAACTGAATGGAGCTTTATCATGTTCATTTGATAAACAAAATGCCCTGAATTCCATCCCACCACTATTCCCATGACTTTGAGTGCTATACATCATAAAATTGGCAACAGAAATTTAGAAGCCATCACACCACTAGCAGTAAATATCCCAGATAGTGTAATCCACTCAGGCATAATCCTGCAGCTCCACCAAATCAGTAAATATAAACTGTAAGGTTTGGGGAGAAAAATGGGTAATCTTCCAGCTATACAGCTGGCCTGTTGGAGATTCCTCCCCCTCCCTTGTCCAGGATGCTGTACAGGGCAACTTCCCAAGGATTGGGCGACCTTACCTGAGAGAGAGGGTAGATGATTAAGAAAGATACATATAGTATATGGCATGCTATTAAGTTCATGATTGGTGCACTCTTTTAAGGTATTAATATCTAGCGCACTTGTAGTTTGTGTTGTTACTTTCCAGGATCATCTGTAGGTTGTAATAGTGTATTCCACGAACTGCTTTTAAAATGCAATAGTGTAATCACTATTGTACATATAGAACCTGCAATAGTGGCATATTGGACCTGTGAGTGAAGTCCAAATAAATTGTTAATTTGAACCTCTCAGTGAAGTCACAACATAGAATAATTAATGCCTCTGAAAATGGATCACTGCAAACATGACACTAAAGCATTTTGGCTGTTTAGCCTAATACATCATCAGCATTAACATGTCATAATAAAAAAAAATTACAGAAGTAAATTAAATTCATTCATATCCTTAAACTCATAATTATGCCCAGAAATGAACCAGAATGCATAGCTAAATGGCTCCAAATCAAGAATGGCAGTGCCTAAAACTGAGCACTTTTTCTCTGTAGAATAATTCAGTGCTTAGAATTAGGAACCCAGAGTCTCTTGGCAGTCAAGGATATACATTAACCATTCCTGGGTGGTGATCCTGGGCATCCTCATGCCACGGAAAGTCACTTTGAGTAATTTAAACAGACATATGTGACCTAATTCCTTTTTAGTTTGCCATAACTGACTATAAATGAGTGTACAAAGTTCTGAGCACTTCCTAGAGGTGGACTGAGAAGAACTCATTCTTTGTAAAAGGCTGCAGAATAATCATACAGTATTACAGTAGTTGATCTATGAAATCTCTGGCTCAGGAAGATAGGTCATATAGACTGGGATTTAGGTTCCATACCAAAACATTTACTTTTAGGTGTCTACATGGGATCTAGCAGGTCCATTCAGTTTATAAATGTTCAACTTACTCTAACAGTGACAGTGGCCTGCAGCTACACTTAGAGAGCTAAATTTAGGACCCTTAATCCACAAGTTAACTCCTCATAAGATTACTATTATCTACTCAGCCTGAAAGAATCCTGGCCTTGTCTCCTACAAAGGAGACTACCCTACTAATTATCCTGCAGAACAGTTCTAGGTGATTGATGCAAAGAACATGTTGGGGCATTGGGGGCTGGGGAGAGAGACCATTGTTCTGGCAACTTGGGATCTGAGGGTGAATAAGGGAGAGGGAGTATGTCTCTGTATTTAGTCATTAACACTCCCTGTCCATAAATTGAAGACATTGCTATGGTCTGCATATTCATTTGCTATTCATTATTTATTAATCCAGTGGCTATCTAATGGAGATGGAAGGCAAAGACCTGGGAACAGAGACACATTGTCTTACCCTAAGCAGCAGAATGTAGAATCTTTTTTGCTTGATGCCTTCTCTGTTTCTCCTCACTGCTGTCCTACTTCTTACACGTCCAGTTTCAAGACAATGAGACAAAATATGGCCTGAGCCAATCTATGTCGTAGCTCAGTAGTTAATAAACTCTCCTGGGATGCCAGTGGTGACAGTTTAGAGATTTTGAAATTCTGAATAAGTCTGAAAGAAGAATCCTACCCTTAAATTGCCCATTAGTTTGCTATTTTGGAGCTTAGTCTACGAACTTTCTCTTGTAGCAGGTGGAACATTTTGAATGATATATAAGAAAACCCTTGGGTAAAAGATACATCATGAATAAATGATAATGGTCAACACAAAAGTCTATTCTCAGGAAGTATTATCAATCAACATGAGTGACTACTGAGAGAGATTTAAGGCTGAGACTTTTAAAAGAGTGTAAGCAATCCATTTTCCTTTGATTTTCAGCAAGATCTGAGGATATATATGTAACTTAAACTGTTTTTAAAATCCTAACCTAAATTCTTAACAGACTAAAAAATACAGGACTTGATATTTCATCCTGCTGCTCATAGAAACGGTCCAATGTTGGTATGTGTATTCCTTGCTTATCAGACCTTTCTGCATCTTAATATCTCTGGAGAACTGATTCCGTCAGGAGAATTCTGATCCTGAATGACTGTTGCCATGGTATTGGATTATTCTGGGCTATGATCAAGAAGAGCAAACAAACTTGAAAAAGAAACTGGCTTTGAAACATATTTTCAAGCCACAGTGCCTAAGACTAGTTTTGGAAAACTAAATCTTGGTTTTTGTATGATGTGGCACTTGTTAAATACTTCTAAAAAATCATCCTGGTAACCAGAAGTGATGCTGTGACAATAAAGGCACACATAAATAGAGGAAAATTCAGGAGGAGAAAATTGGGCCAATTCTTACACTATTCAAAATTGTTCACATTAATTTAATGGTATTATTCCCCACTGAACTGAAACTCCCACCTTCTCTGAGAGCATTTGAAAAAGCAAAACTTTGCAAATTATATTCCTGTTTTACTAGGCACTATTCCAAAGCTGGTGGGAGTCAAGGAATGTCTTCTCTGAAATTACTGAGCTTTTGAATTGAGTACGTAATGAGTTTGTACCTGTCTCCCATCCCTAGATAACAATACAAGCTCTTCTTTTACACCTGTTAGTATTCATTCAATTGCATGTCATCTATGTGTACTGAAACTGCTGCAGAAGTTTCTAGAAATACATGAAACAGTGCCCTCTGTATGCAGAAGTTCATATTCTTAGAGGAGAGAGTTCCCTTAATGCCTCAAATGGAAAAAAAAGAAAAAAGGTCCTAAGAGAAATCCTGGTAGTGTATTATCCAGGATGATGACCCCAGAAGGATGCACAAGTTTCAACAAACAGCATTTAAATAGTAAAGCAAGCAACATGAAATTATGCAGAGACTGGGGGAAGTTTTCAGCACGTTCATTATTTATGGACAGAAAATTTTGTTTGCAAAATTGCTGAGCATGTTCTTCCTATTCCACAGGCAGAATTCACAGCCATGAGGGACCAATACATGCGAGGCGGAGAAGGCTTCGTTATCTGCTATTCCATCACAGATCGCCAATCCTTTCAAGAAGCTGCCGAGTTTAAGGAACTCATTTATCGTGTCCGACACACCTATGACATCCCCTTGGTTCTGGTGGGAAACAAAATAGATCTTGAAGAGTTCAGACAGGTGAGCAACTTCTCTGCTGTTTTTGGTTTGATTATGCTTGGCTACCTCAGAGTTTTCTATAGCATATGTTTTACAGCACTACTGAGAATTTTTAGCACAAGATGAGTTTTAATCAAAGAGCAACACACTACATTTGGTGATAAATGAAGGACTTAGCATTGCTTTCATTCATATGTTATGGATCTTAAAGTAGTCTTGACCAATCACATACAAAGGTTCTTTGTTTTTACTGGAAAAGAGATCCCACTATTTTTGTTGGAAGTTATATATATGTTCAACATAGAAATATGCTCAATATAGAAAAAGATTCAGTCAGGATCTTCGTGACAAATAACCTATTTTCTTTGGAAGCTACCAACCATTAAATACAGGGTGTTTTTTTTTCCTTTTCATAAATATACTAGATTTAACTAAAGGTTTCTCAAACTCAGACTGAAAAATATTCTAGTTAAAGTTGAGAAATACATATGAGATTATCTTGGTGTGCAAACCAGTGGCTGTGTTATTAGAGTGTTCAGATAAGATGGGGACTTGAATTCACTTGGATTTGTGTAAAAGATTTGAGCCACCACCAGCCACAGAACAGTAGAATTCTTTGATTATGAGGGCACTGACTGTGACTCTCAAAGTCTTTAGTAATCTTTGTTCACTTTTTGCCTTTCTCTTCCTCTCTGCTTCCTCCTTGCTGTTTGTATTGATGTGTGTGTGTCTACATGCAATGAAGCCAGTTAGAGAGAGAGCATCTTAGAAATGGCTTGGTTGTGACCTGGTACCAGATGGAAAATATCCTTAATCTTAAACAGAAACTTTGAAAAAGGGGAAAAAAAGATTTCCCTATATGGAAATTTTAAGGGGCTCTTTATACACATTATGATTGCTTTCAAACGACTGACTTCTGTGCAGACGTATGTAACTGTTAAATAAAATGGGTTTTTTCAGTTCATTAGCATCTCTGCTCACATGATCCTGTCTACTCTTTTCCACTTATCCTGTCACAATTCTCCCCCTTTCTTTGTCTTCTTTGTTCTACCTGAAGAAAATCCAAGGGAGTGTTAAGCCTGAAATTAGTCCTGAAGATCTGATGATGTACATTTAAGGCTTCACATCTGTTTCCGGATCATTGACTTTCTCCCTAAGTCAAACTGTGACAAAACCATAATGGTCTCAATCCAGCTGCCATCTGACATGTAGCTTGAGGTTTCAAACAACAGTGTCATGTTCAACATGAAGTATAATCTCTGCAGCTTCAGGGGTAGTTATATACCAGATGACTAGGGATGTGGATCCAGTAGGTCTACTAAGAAAGCAGGACATTGCACCTGATCCCAACAGAAGTGGGACATGAATGATTACCTACAGTTACCTATAGATTAGGTTTCCAGGAATATTCTATTCACCAAGTGATGTGAAGTGATATGAAGACTCTCTTCCAGCAATATTTGACATTATTTCTTTCTGATCTTGCGTTTTGTTGGGCTTTTATATTTTAATCACATCAATGCATATAAAAATATATGCCGGATTCAAATGTTTTACGCACTCCTTGATGATCTTGTCTGGTCTCCCCAAAAGGAAAATTAGTGTCCATGAATGTCTGTAACAGCACTCAAGATTAAAGGGTATGATGGGGCATTCTTGGAAATGATACTAGAAATTTTGTCCCTGAGATGCCACAGACACACAAAAAACTGTTATACAAGGTTGTCACTAAAAATCCTGCCTGAATGTGTATCAAGCCAATTCAAAATGATGCTCCTATTTCTTTTTTTTTTTTTTTTTTAATCTTTTATTGAGCTAGGATTTAGGTCTTCAGAATCTTTTTTTCCCCATAAGCCCTCTACAACTGTCAACAAGTACAGCAATGTCGGAAGGGTTTTCTCAAATATTCTGCAATTCAGACTTTAAGCCATGAGACAACCTTACATCAAAGAGTAGTAAGATAATACAATGCAGATCTGCTCTTTGAATAAAGTACTTGAACATGACTATGTGTACATAAGAGGGTACTATGAACCAACAGGAGTAAAGCTGTAGAACAAAACAGTTTATTTTGAAGTCCACATTTTTAACTCTGGATTAGCTCTACTCCAAGGCCATTGCCTCCATCATTAGCTAGTGCTGAGGTATATGAGTTGTGCTTCTGGAGCATATCTTCACTTCAGTTTCATCCATACTTCATGTCATGTTTTCTGAGACCTCTCCACAATTCAAAGCAAAGCATGGTTAAGGGGAGGTGACTAGGAGATACTTCTCTGCGTGCCTCTCTGACTGAAACTAAAGCATGAGTGTGTGGGAGGTCATCTCTGTGCCCAGCTATAAGCGCACGTTAATGAACTTCGGCAGGTCATTATTTCAGAACTGGGACGTAAAGTTGTGCTGTATGTTTAAAAAGTACTGAAATAAGTTATACCTACGCTTACTTGTTAGGTTAAGCAATATCTAAGTAACTTGATGAACTGTGGGAAGGTAGACTTAAAGGAATCTTTTCAAGGTTATGTGCTGTAGCTGTGGTTTCATTAAAACTGCTTGGATGGTCAAGAGTGGTGGCCAGCTACCTCTGGGGTGACAGGCAGCAATGAGCTGACAGCATCAACATATCAATGACCAAACAGTGAGGTACACAAACATACCAAATTCAAACTTAGAAATAGTAGGTGTCAGAATGCAATTAGCCAGACTGGAATTTGACCAGGACATGGGGGCTAATATTTTTGCTTTGTTTAACGACAATTTTTTCCTATGAAATTCATTAAAGCTACTGTAATTTTATTCATGGTATTTGGAAACGTGGTATTAAGTTCAACTTTCCCAGGCATCATTTCCATTTAATGGCAATTCCGCAGCAATCAGATAGGCTGTCGTAGTTTCGTCAGACAAAGCTCTTGTTTGAAATGCAATCCCCCACACAATAGAATTAGCAATGTATGTCATCTGCCTCAAATCTATCAATGGAGATGCAAGAATCAACAGAAAGCTAATCTGCAATTAAGATTTAGTGTTAAGAGAAACACTGCTGAAAAACAGAACCAACATGCTTATCATTTTTAAACAATCTTTTATTTTCTGATGGCTTCAGTGAAATTATTGGTGTCTTTAAGTATGCCTGTCATTTTTAACATCTTAAGAAATGGGTTTGTCTGTACTCCTTCTTAAAACAAGATTTAATTGCATTCATCAGCCTAAAGAATAAACACTTTCCATTTTCTCTGAAGCAATGTGGGGGAAAACTGAAAAAACTGTGGCGGAAAAAACTGACTTCATGAGTGTGTCCGCTTTGGTTGCAAGGCTCCCTCCATCCTCCATTCCCTTCCACCCATTTGTACTAAGGCTGTGTGTGGCCCTTTATGACCTTGCTCTATTTTGTGTTCAGAGACTCGTCAGGAATGTGAATGGTTATGAGTGGTTAAGGTGTTGATCTGTGTCCATTCCTTGATTTTTAGCCATTGCTCTAATATTTAAGTATTATGTGTATTTTATCCCATAGCTGTTCATTGTAAAAAATAGAGCAATAAGTGCTTGATTACGTATCATTTTAATTTCTACACTTTCTACCATTAAAGTCATTAGATTAATAACTATAGTCTGCATGTTCTTTTAATGTCATTAGAGTTTCAGAAACATTTAGAACCAGCTGATATAAACTGCAATAGATACTTTTACTTCAGGTAAGTTTTGTCACTTTACCCCAGATGAACATCTGGTTCTTACTGAAGTTTAAAATCTGTATAATAGATACATATCTAATTAAAACATATTCCTGTAAAAAATTCAATAAACAACTCACCCTACTTGAGCTCTTGCCATGCTAATACTATATTGCAGCTTTTAATTAAAATATTTTGTAATAAAAACAAGTGGCTCTCCTGAAAGGCTGTTCGAAAAAAAATTCCCTAAGACTTTGCCTACTGATCATTGCAATATATGACATTAAGCATTTCAGTGGGGAGCTAATTACATAAGCTCTTTTGAACAATGTGTTGTAGCTCTCAGTTGGAAGGAACAGATACTTTCTAACAGCTTTTTCAAACTTCTAATGTGGACGCAAGAGCCCCTCTGGAAATTCTACCTATGTAGAAATTGCATAGCCTTCATGGAGTGGTTTTTCTTATTCGCTTTTTTTTGACCGCAGAGGAATAAACTGTGGGCTCAGTCGAGTCCATGGATGTTGATGTCCATTGAGTCCAAGGTTATGAGGGCAGCTCATGCTTCATTCTGCTCTTGGCCTCTCTGGGAAGCCTGTCATTGAAGTTAGTTTTGCCAGTACGGTCTTGGCCCTGAAAAGAATTAGACAGTTGTTTACCCTTCCACACATGAGTTGCCTTATTGGCTTCAAGCACAAGTCTGAATAGGAGCAGTGCTTTTGAAAGCATTTTATTCCTTCTCTCTCCCCCTACAGACTCCCTCTTCAGCAGAAAATATGAAATCACTCTAAAAACTGTTTTTAATATGAAGAATATCTTATTTGGAGTGCAAATTAATTACAGGGGCTTCATTATGTTTTCTTTCTAAGGTTTTATTATACCCTAAGATAATTCTCAAACCAGGATTAGAGTGGTTTAGTACATTCTCATGATCTGAACCAGTTTCCCACAGAACAGTCTCACTTCAATGAGGTTTTACTTTGGAATTTTTTCAAGATATGCTGACTGGTTATCAGATACTGTGAACATCAACTCTTAGACTTCTCGTTTTGACAGTTGCTCTATTTTCATGCTGTCTTCTAAAACCTCGAAATAGCTGTTGAATCTGAGACAACTAATATTCTTTTTCTTTTTCTTTGTCCTTTTCCTTTTTTCCTTTTCCTTTTTTCCTTTTCCTTTTCCTTTTTTCTTAACTTGTTTTGTTTTGGTTTCTTTTGTATGAATAACAGTTCAGTATATTTCAAATGTTGTCAGTCTATACCTTCTGCTGCCTGGCTGAGACACTGAAAACACAGAATATGACATTATATTTTGTTTTATTTTCATTTTACAGTGCATGACTAGGAAGCACTGCTTACT